GCAAAACACCATCAACAACAAGCTGACAAGAAAAGCCAAAAAAAAGAAAAAGAAAAAAGAAAGAGGAAATGGAATGTCAAATAAAAGTAGAGCTCCTTACATCACATTACTAGTAGTCGATGGAGCTCCGATGGTCTTTATTTCTTCAACATAAATATGGATGAACTGCCTCGAACATAAGTGGTATCCATTTGGGTATTCAAAGATCTCACGAGCATCATGAACAGACTCTGATAAATTGCGAAATCTAAACTGTAATTTTTCAGATACAATACACAACCATTGATTGAATGCTACAGAGAACTTTGATAGAATATGTGCCTTCACTTATCAGTCAATGGACCAGGTCCCTTGACACAGTAACAAGTATGAAAAGAAAGTAAATGCAGTATAAACAACACAACAATTTTACGTGAAAACCTCCTTGCTTAAGAGAGTAAAACCACGACCTGTCTCACAGGATTTTCAACCGTTTTCACTAATCTTCACAAGCAAAAGTGAAACCCGATTACAACAAATGTGAGAAAAAGTTTTTAATCTCACAGTCAAGCAATAATCGCTATTGCTCGACAAGCCTAAGTAAATTTTACTCTACCCACTAAGCTATCCCTCCTAGACAACTTAGAATTTTAACACCACATACTAATTCCTTTATAGATTTAGGAATAGTTTACAATATAAGACCAAGAGAATATATTCTTAATCAACTACACTATATGTTGCTGAGGTTTTAGTTGTTGTTTTGAATAATTCTTCTGCTTTGATTTTCGATAGCCTTTGCAAGTGTTCTTGAAAATGCTTTATCAAGTTGCAAAAACTAAGGAATAATGTTTAGGAAAGTGACTTTTATATGGACAAGTCACTTTCCTTAAACTCTTTGCCATTGGTTTGAGAAGTCTGACTTTCTGACGCCGTTGGGAAATATGCACCCACATTCTATACCTTCTCCAGTTGGCAGTCAACCGGCTAGTCACATGGGGTACCTGGTACCTTTACTAGGTCCCTGAGTTTGTTTCATCTTCAAAGCTCAAGTAAGAAACCTTGTACCTTTACAAGGTCCCTGAGTTTGTCGAATCATCAAAACTGCAAATAATATTTCCCCCCTTTTTGATGATGACAAACAATGCTCAGGCACCACTCCAGCTCTGTTCCCCCTCACTGTATTCCCCCTCACTTTGTTCCCCCTCACTGTATTCCCCCTCACACACAACTCAGCCACTTACCAGTTTTACTTCCCCTTTTTGGCATCATAAAAAAGAGATACAATAAACCAATGATGTCAACAGTAATATCAGATAAGATCAAAGCTAGATAACAGTAAAACAGAAGGGAAAACGCATTCACAATAGATAATAATTAGAACACCAGAGGAATAAGTTAAATAGCATTCCACGATAACATTTAGTACATTAAAAATAAATGATAATCCAAAGACACAAAGACAAGCCACAAAAAGAAGACAGAGGAGAAGATTGGAACATACTAGGAAGGGGGAGGTTGATGAGAAAGGGACTGGATAATGAGAGTGAGTCGATCATTTGTAGCATCATTATCCTTAATTGCCTTCTCTTGCAAGGCAGTAACCTTGACTCTCAACTCTGCATTTTCCCTCTCCAGGGCTTGAACCACAGAAGTACCAGGTCCCTCAGTTTGTGCAGTAAGTAGTTCAGCTTTGAGAATAGCAATTTCAGCATCTTTACCACTCAAACGCACTGTTAGCTCCTCAACCTCATGCTTGAGTTGATCCTGATCGTCTATGAGTTGAGCCATCTTGCTCTTGGGATTGCCTTTTCCTTTGATACTGTCACATTCGACCAGGGTACTCTCTGAAAAAGTTTGTTTCACAGTCCCAACCCCGCCAACGCTTAGAGGAATTTTAAAATGTTTGAATACTTCAGTGAGAAAGTATCCGTATCTCATCCCATGAATATCTTTCCTCTCAATGACAGTTTTGTACATGTGCTCAAGCATAAGTGCTGGGAGATTCAAAGCTTCGAATCTGCACAATATCTCCATCACAAATAAGTCAGCAGAAGTTGCTGAAGTCCTCTTTTCAGTCCGAGGAAGGAGAATTTTGTGTACAAATTCGAACATCAACTGGTACTCGCTCTTCATGACCTTCTTAAAAAGCCCAGCAACCTTTGTTGTAGGAAGCTTAGAAACCAAGGACACAAACTCAATCGAACAAGTTTTCCCAATAACAGATCTGGTTCCCTCTCTAGGTACCCTGAGAATTTTGCTCAGCAGAAACTCATCCAGATGCACTGCAATATCATTAACTCTTGTGAGGATGCTCCCATTTTCTTTAAATTGAATGTTGTAATAGAATTCACGCACTTCTTCTTCGTACAGGATAGGAGATTTCCTGTTGAATTAATGCATCCATGATTGAATTTCCACCATGTCATGGAGAGAGTCCATGCCGGGAAGATTGATTATTCCCATCTCAAAGACTCTTCCAGCCAACACAGCCTGCGTTTTCAAGTTGTCAACAATTTCCTGCATATTGACTTCCTCTTCACCTGTTTCTTGGGTACCAGGTCCCTGTGATCTCTTCTGTTTTCCAGTAAAACTCTTCTTCTTGGGTTTTGTTTTCTCAACCTTCTTTTGATCCTTTGACTTTGCTTTTCCTGACTTTGTCTTCTTGTTTTTCTTATCCATTTCTTCGACAGACACTTTTATGACACCAGATTCAGGCATTCTAAAGTTTGATACTTTAAAAGTTCTGGCACTCCGAATTTCAGTCGTAGATCTTGCACTAGTCTTTAAGGCATCAGCTATCAACTTCCTAGCATCATACCTAGTAGTAGGTCTTCTTCTAGGAGCCTCATCCACTACTTTTTCTTTTCCCTTTCTAGACACCCCAACCTCCCTTCTTTCAACCTTTCATTAAATGGGTTCCTCATCATTTTCAGAATCTGAGGAGTTAGAAGAAGGATACCTCCCAAAATCTGGAGTTTTATCAAAAATGGGTTGAGTGTCTCTTACCTCTTCACCTTGTAAAGATTCATTTTGCTCAGCCCTAACTTCTTCTCTTATCATTGCAAGACTTTCGATAACCAGTTCTTCACTTGCTGCCAAAATGTTTGACTCAGACAATTTATTTCTTGGCAAGTCTCCTTCAAATAGATTGTCAGGCAACATCTCATGGTAAGGACCAGGTCCGGTAGGTATACTAGTGCTGTTCAGATCTATGGAATGGAAAGGTTTTTCAGAAGTATCATGCTGAGAACTAAAAGGAACACTAGATCTGGACTCTACTGCTGAAGGAGAGTAAAAAGTGATAGTTCAATTTCACTGAGAGCAGTGAGCACTTGCTTAGAGGTTGAAGAAGGATCAGACATCTTTGACCAGAATAAGAACAAAAATAGCTTTTCGAAGACAAAAAAAAAGAGATTTTGTCTTTAACTTTTCTTTTCCTTTTTTTGTGAAGAATGTTGAGAGACGGATGAGAAATCAAAAAGAAGGAAAAAGGGTTTAAAAGGATTTGAAACGGTGATAGGTCCTTGATTTGACGTGTCGCTTGAGGAATAA